TCTAGGGAAATTTTCTTTGGAAAGGTGGTTGAGACAGAGACAGAGATATTGAGATTGTCTCTTGATCCCCTGACATTTCCCTCCCCCCGCCCCCCAAAAAAATACACCTTCATTACAAAAGAGGCCTTTGGACAACCTAGGGCAGAAAAAAATGACATTACTCTGGTGTAGATTTGATATGCTCATCCCTGATTTCCACTTTGGAGATATGTGTTGAAGTCTGCAGTATAATTTGTTACAACCTAGACACATTCTAAAATGTTAGAGCCACAGGACACTGTGGCCCCTTGAAGGTGTTTGGTGGGGAAACTTGAAGGGGCCAGCAGGGGACTTCAGGACCCCAACTCTATTTTATCTGTTTTCTATATTGGGTTTTTACATGAGATTTTGTTTAAAGAAAGGATTCTTTGGCTTAAAGGTCTGAAAATGATCTAATCAGCCCCCTTTTAAGTGTAAGGAAAGTGAGATTTGGCAAAGTGAAACATTGCCTGTTGTTCCTTTGCCTACTTGTACTGGAACTCAAGTCTTCTGACTGCTAATCCAGTCATATTTCAGCTACACCAGTGTTGCACTATCGTTTTTTTTTTCAGTAAATATTTAATATCTACGTCATTCTGCCAAACAGCCTGTTGAGATATAATGTGAAAACTCTGGGGCTCCTGGATGGGGCCATTTGAGGCAATTGGATTTTGTACACAGCTTTATGGATACAGTAAAGATTATGTTTTGAGAACTTGATGAGAAGTTGTAATCAATTGGAAGCAAGGGCTGGCTGCCAGATGCCAGAGAAACTAACAGAGTGAACTGAGGATTGCCATGGCTGAGTTATTTCAGCTAAATGACTAAGAAATAAAATTTAGTAGAATGTATTTATTACCAGTGACCTGGGTCTTCCCAAAATATCTAGTTAGCAACCAACAACTTCCTTTTCTTGATCACCGGTTCTTAACCTTCACAAAGAGGAAGGAACGCAAATCCTGTAGTGGTATTTTTCTGGGTTTCCTGCCAATAGAAGGCATGATTACGGGAAAATGGTTTTCCTTTGTTTTTCCCTTCTGACATACACTCTTCAGTTTTTACCCTATTAGACAGGACTGAACAGAAATTTAAAATCAGTGTTTTATATTTTTCCAAAACCTTACCACATCTTACTATATTTTGCATTTATATTGTGTTGTTCCATATCATCTTTATAATATATTAAAACTCCTGTCTTTTAGCAAAATACACACAGGCATACCTTGGAGATATTGTGGGTTCAGTTCCAGACCACTGCAATAAAGTAAATATTGCCTTAAAGCAAGTCACATGAATTTTTTGGTTTCCCAGTGCATATAAAAGTTACATTTGCACTATACTGTAAGTCTATTAAGTGTGCAATGGCATTATGTCTAAAAATACAATGTGCACACCTTAATTAAAAAATGATTTATTGCTAAAAAATGCTAACCGTCACCTGAGCCTTCAGTGAGTCCTAGTCTTTTTGCTGGTGGAGGGTCTTTTGTAAAAAAACACAGTATCTGTGAAGCACAATAAACTAAATCTTGCTAATTAATTAGGACTGGAAAATTGGAGGAGAATTAAGAGAGTATTGGAAAGTAGTCAGGTCAGGTTCAATGGATGAGGGTGTTGAAGGCGATAAAGGAGATAATATATATAAAAGTACTTGCTACACGGTGCGATGCTCAGCAAGTATTTATTGAATTACAGCCTGACAGTTGGATCTCCTTTTCCTTATCTGCATATAAGAATAATAATAAACTTGCTTCATTGAGTTGTTGTGAGGATTAAATGAGAACATACATGTAAAGTGCTTAGAACAATGCCTAGCACTTGAGATACCACTGGCAAAAATATTTGTCTTTATTTTGAATTATCCTGTTTAGCAGTATTTCAAAAAGTTAGAGACAGGGAATGAGAAAGGAGTATACAACTATTATTAATACAACTATTATTTTTCCATATATTCTTACAGTCTTTATAAGCACTTTTTGTCTACTTTATTTTTTAGAGCAGTTTTAGGTTCACAGCAAAGTTGAATGGAGGTACAGAGCTTTGCCACATATCCCCTATCCTCCACTTACCTCCTATCACCCACCTATCCCCTATGCCCTAGATATGCACCGCCTCCCCAACTATCAACACCCTGCACCAGAGTGGTACATTTTTTACAGTCAGTGGACCTACCTTGACACATCATTATCATCCAAAGTCCGTAATTTACATTAGGGTTCGCTCTTGGGGTTGTACATTCTATGGGTTTTGATTTATATACATTTATTCACTTAACAATATAACTTGTGTATTTTTCTATGGTGTACTCACACACAGTCTTCATAATTGTAATTCTTTTTTATAAGCCAGACCTGCTACAAGATTTTTTACTCCTGAGATAAAGATCTGTGAGAGAGGGGGTTTAATAGAGGGAAACTGTACTTTGACTTAAGTCGGTTCACATTCTGCCTTGTAACCTCTCTCTGCCTCAACCTTCTCATCTCAAAAGCAAGGATAACTAAGGAGATATCTAGTCCTATTTGCAAACTTTAAAGTGCATAGAAATGTACGATGTTATTACTACTGTGGACAGAATAGTGACCTCCAGTCTTTTACCTAGGTCTTTTGCATCTTGAGACCATCAGTTAGTTCCTCCATGTATTTTAGAGGAAAAGACTTCACTGACAGAGAAGCAGGGGAAATTTTATCTAAGAAAAACTATCATAAGACCTAGGTTTATTTGTGATACTATAGGAATTTAAACTGTTTAGAATTTCACTAAAGGATAAGATTGCATGCAGCAAAGGCAGAGCATTTGTATTAAAGTACAAATACTTGAGTGATGTAACTTTGTTAAACTTAATTTAGTGTTTCCAAAGGGAGCCTGTGACAAGGAGAACAAAGTATAGAGCTGCTTGAATTTCCATGAAATTCGGCCTCGGCTAACTAAAATGCCTTCGTTTTAACATTTATGTTGCTGCTGTGGTTGTTGCTGTTAGAGCTGTTTCCCATCTAGAGCAGTGGCTAGTGTTCAGTAGTCATTTATCTGTTTTTAATTCATAACTCAGACTAGCAACAGTCTGCCCTTTCAGTCTGCCCTTCAAAACATTTCCTGTTTTTCTTTCAGTTGTCTTTAAATCACAGTAAACCTGTAATTTAAAGGGCATCAGAGGTTTTTACACGGGTCTTTATCTCTAAAATGATAAGGGCTCACTTAATTGACCCCGTCTCTACAGAATAATGGAGCAATGATCCCTTGTATATTTTGTCTAGACTGTGTTATTGTGTTTGTTAACTAGACAAATGTATTTATCAGCAGCTATCTGTAATGTCTTATTATTTAAAATGTTATCTTTAAAGCAATTTCCCATAATGCCTTGCTTAATGCTGGATACCATTGTATGTGGTCGGTAAATATGTACTGATTATATAAAAGAAATTGGAACTCAGTGACATTATATTATTTGGTCTTCTTTTTGCTTTCTTTGTGCAATGGATTTTTAGAGGTGAGCATAAAGGAGCTATTTTTATTATAAAAGTAATACAGACATCTTCAGCTTTACTAAGGAGAAGTAGCCTGATCTACTAATGTTTGATTTGTCTTCTTACCTTGTTTTCAGATTTCTTTTTAATGTAAGGCATGAGCTATAGTATTGTAGCTCATATTATTCATTGAATGAATAAATAAATGTAAATAAATATAATTTAAATGAGTTCTTAAAGTTGTATCTTCATATTTAAATATTTGGTTGTATTCTGACAGAGTATATCTCAGAAGTATGAACGCTCACATCTATAACACTCATCATTCTTAATGATGAAGGATTGGGGGAGTGTATACTTCAGAGAAGCCTGAATATGAGTATTTTCACAGTGCCTTAGGTACAGTAGGTACTCAATAACTATTGAATGAATGAATGCATACATGCTCATCTTCCTACTGTGGGGGGGGAGTTTGTTCTGAAGACCATAACTTTAATGTAGGAAGTACTGTGTAAGACAACCCATTAGATTAAGAATCAAAACACATAGGTTTTAATTCTAACTCTGCTTTTCATTTAACTGTTTAATTTTGGACAAGCCATCATACTTTTCCAAGTTTTAATTGGAATTCTCAAATATAAAATGAAAGAATTGAGCAAGACTAATTAGATGATCTTTAAGGGTTTTCCCTCTTGTAAATGCTGTACAAAATCTTAACAACTGACCTTTACTTAACCTCTCCACGGTCATAAACCTTTCCCTTCCCTCTTTAAAGGATGCCGATGAATCCCTACATCACACTGTCCCCTCATGACTGTTCTTTAGTACGCCTACACCTGTCTGCTTCCGCCAGTTGAGTCATTGCCTTCCAAGAGCCGCTTGTGTTTATCCCTAAAATGTTTATGCTAGTTCTATTTGTTGTTGTATTTATGTAATTTAATTTAATTTATAGTTACTGATGAAATCTGACTATAAAAATAGTTTTCTGAAAACTAGTTTAATAAAAGTAAGTTTCTAAAAAAAAAAAACTATTGAATTAGATGTGAGACAATTGAAAAAGATGAGGAGACGTATTAAAAATCTAGGATTTTGGACTCAGATTGCTTTGTAAGAGCCTAAGTTCTCTCACCACTTTGAAGACATTGAAACTGAATATTTCAGTTTCAGCTTCAGATGGTTCCGTAATGACTAAGTCCAGCCAGAAGACCCATACTCAAAGAAAAGGCCCTGCTACAAGAAATAGCTACTGAATGTACTTTATATGTTTTTGTTATTATGATTCTCCACTGTACAAAATCAGCTTCTTTGGTTAATAGACCAATGTCCCATCAGAGGACAGCAAGAGGGATTCTACTGCTCTGTGGTCTCCGTAATGTTTTAGGCCTTTTAAAAAATAACACAGTAGTAATCATTCTGTTTTGTTCATTTTAATTTGTATGGCTTTTCTTCATATGAGATTGCTGTAAAATACTCTTCCCTATATCTCATATTAAAACCCAACTCTTATTCTGTTTTTTTCACAGAATATCCAGAAGATTCTTGGCCTTGCCCCTTCGCGAGCAGCCACCAAGCAGGCAGGTGGATTTCTTGGTCCACCACCACCTTCTGGAAAGTTCTCTTGAAATCAAGAAGAACCGTATAATTCTTGTCATTCTTTTTAGACATTCAAATCAGACTGGCAACTATTTGGTAGCAAGAGCCATAGGCAGCCTTAGCACATGGGCAACCTTCTAATTTTGAGTTATTTCTAGACTTTTTTGGTATGATTCAAATAAGGATGGTACCCAACAAACATGACAGTGCTTTGGGTCACAGATTAATTTTTATTAAATAAGTGTCTTGATTAGATAAGTTCAGCTGATATTTATGTAATGAGAAACAAATAGCATCTTTCTTGCTTTGCTTACATGAATATTTTCTGTGGGACTGACTCTCAAGTTTGCTGTGTGCCATGTACCGTGGAAGTTGGTTCTCCATGAGTATTTAGAGATCTGGAGGAAAAATTTGTTTATGTAACTCTTAATTGGAACTATTTGTTGTGTGTTTTTCTTCAAGCCAAATATATGACCCAAAATCAATAAAGAGGCCAAAATTTTAGCTATTTCATCTACAACGAGAGATCTGTTTTGTTTTACCATGTTTCTAGATACATGTTTTTAGTAATCTGGACATGAGGGTAAACATTGGCCAGGAAGGGCTAAAATAAAAGTTTTTAATGTACTATTTTATCATACTTGTCTCATATACTCAAAACACAAGGTTGTTCTATTATGGGAATTGGGAAGCATGAGGGAAAAGGAAAATAATAACTCAGGGGAATATAAAAATGAGGATCTTCCAGCAGTTCCCTTCATACCCTAGGACAATCTATTGGATTCTTGCAAAGGGACTCTTAGTTCTCCCTTGGAAGCAAGGTTAGAGTCATGTGGTTAATCTTGTGGAGTTTCCTTTTAGTCACAGTGGCTTTCAGTCCCTGCTATGCCCCTTTTGTAAAGGATGAGAGGATATGTGTACCATCATCTTCCCTCCTAGTCCATGGAATTGGAAATCCTATATGGAGTGATAACTCTTGTAATAAATATAGATATTTATCAGTAGTCTCCTTAGATGCGTCTGTTCTACTAGTGAGAAAAGACACATTATTTGCAAAATAACAACCATTACTGACAGAAAACTTCTCAACAGCATAAAGGCCAGAAGACATTGGGATAACATCTTCAAAGCTGAGGAAAATAATCCTCAACCTAGAATTTTATGCACAGCTAAACCATAAGATTGGGGCAAAACTGGGAGCAGTATTTTCAGAGCTACAAAATCCAAGGTAATTGAATTATTATTTTGTCAGGGACAAAAAAGAATACCAGGGGGAAGGTGTGGGATATAAGAGACAATGGTTAACACAGAAATTGATAAAATATATAGATAAATTTAAGTATTTTATGGATTATCTAGTTTAAGGATTATCTTGAGACAACACCATAAGGTAACTACTGTTCTTATCCTCATTTAAAAGACGAAGAAACTGAGGCAAGAGAGGTCAAGTAACTTGTTCGACATCGCTTAGCTAATGAGTGGCAGAGTCAGGATTTGAACCCAAGCACTCTAAAGTCATATAGTCCTGGCTCTCAAATGCTGTGTCCTATTACAGCCTCCTCATAGGGATGTGGTGACTCTCCTCCCACCACCTTCCCTTATGTCCTTAGCTAGAGCACGTGAGCTCTAAAGTTGAGGCTTTGTCTAATTTGTTGTCCTTGTTTCCTCAAAGCGGTCGCATGGGAGGGAACACAGCAAAAGCTCAATAAAAGCAGATGAGATGGAACAGAAATCCCTATTTCAAGGGTCCTTTTATCAGAAAGGATGCCTGATGATGGATGGTGATGATTTCTAATGGTCTTTTCTCCATGTCATTGACTATTCCAGGCAAAATAATAATTAAAGAATGACAATCATGATAACAATGATGACAAAAATGATGGAATAGCTAAAATAAAGCATAAAAAGAGAAGGAACCCACTCAAAATTCTCCCATTACCTTTGTAAAGTGAGAATATTTGGTCCATCTTACCACCCACCCCCTAAGGTTTTGTGCTTTCTAATCACATTTCTTTTGGACTAGATCTTCATAAGGTATATTTCAGTGGAAGAGGGTGAATAAGAGGGAGGAGGAAAAAGGGAGAAGGAAGGAGGAGAGAGAACATCCTGTTCCTAAAAGGGCACAATAGCAGAAGAAATAAAGCTATCACATCATGAGAATGGAAACTCAAGGAGATATTAAAGGCTATGCAGCCTCACAATTAGTTTTCTTTTTAATTACTTGCCCTGGAAAATTTTCAAGACAATTTATTTAGGTAACACTCCAGATTCAGACCATCACTGAATTATTGGAGATGATATTTCAAGCCAGAGAAGCCTCTGAACATCTCTCAAAACACATGATTTGGCTACTTTGCCTATGTAAAGGATAGATTGTCCCCTTGCTAGTTTAAAAAAAAAAAAAGCAAGCATTATTAATGCCTGCATTAGGCTTCTCAGGTTGCACTCTATTCAGGTTGTATGTGGGATGCTGCCATAACATGGCTTGATGAGCAGTGCGTAGGTCAGTGCCTGGGATCCAAACCTGTGAACCCCGGGCCACGGAAGCAGAGCTCACGAGCTTAACCATTGTGCCACTGGTTAGAAGACTTGTTAAAACACAGACAGCTGGGCTCCACCCCAGTTTCTGATTCCAGGTCTGTGGTGAAGCTTGAGAATTTGCACGTCTAACAAGTTCCAAGGTGATTCCCAACGCTGCTGGTCTGGAGGCTGCTGGTTTAGTTCCCCACCATGTCTCTCTCATTTCTTCCTTTGCAATTTATTTGTTGAAGAAATTGCATTGTTTACTCTGTAGAGTTTCCCTCAGTTTGGATTTTGCTGACTGCATGCCTGTTTTACATACTGTTGGTTGTCTCTTTTTGTAATGTTAGCAGCTTTTGCTCCATTAATTAATTAGAGATTGAAAAATGATGATACTCCAATTCTAGTATGTCTTCATTTATTAGGTAAAATACCGCTACAGATAGAAACTTCCCCTCCATCTGCTTTTTGGTTACAGAGTGGTAAGTTTTTTGGGAAAGGCAGAATAAATGCATGATTGTCTGGTATTCAAAATAATGTTGTTCACTAGTATCCTCCAATGGTGAACAGTTTCTCTGTGTGTCTGCTGGCAGTTCATAGATTTAAACATGATTCACTTCAGTTCACTGATATTATTTTTCTTGTGGATGCTCAAATTTTCCCATTTTTAGCCAGTGAGAGGCTCTTTAAGTTGGCTCCTGGGTCCATTTCACATAACTCTAGTTGTCATTGGTAACATCCTTGCTAAGTGATATGACAAGATGTTCCAAAGCCATCTCGTATTTCCTGCCTGACCTGAAAGCAACACTTTCTTCAAGAAGGCCTGATTCTTTTTACTGGGAAATGGTCTTTGGAGACTGCAATCAGAGCACTAGGGATGTTCATTGAGACTGCGTTACTGAGTTTCCAGGCCTTTTTTGTGGACTAAGATAGGTAATGTGTTTTGTTGTTGTTTTAAGATAAAATATATCGTGAATTTATACCGATGCTTTACTCTCCAGTTAAATTCAGGGCTATGGAGTTTTTACTTATTTTCTTTGATCTGTGTCTCTTTTCTCCCATGCTAAGATTTCCAGTTTTCAGTACCAGGAATGGTAGAATATCACATAATCCCACAATATCCACCCAAAGCCTCAGAATTTCAATACTAACATTTCTACGAAGCATATGGCTACTGAACATAGTCTAAGGGTTTTTGAGGGTTTTTTTCTTTTTGATTGGCACCTGAGCTAACATCTATTACCAATCTTTTCTTTTTCTTTCCTTCTTCTCCCCAAAGCTCCCCAATACCTAGTTGTATATTCTAGTTGTGAGTGCCTCTGGTTGTGCTATGTGGGACGCCGCCTCGGCATGGCCTGATGAGTGGTGCCATGTCCATGCCCGGGATCCGAACTGGCAAAACCCCACACCACTGAGGCGGAGCACGAGAATTTAACCACTCAGTCACAGGGCCAGCCCCTGGGAGGTTTTTTTGTATTCTTTAAGATCCATCCTGTTCTGGGTTCACAGTCAGATTACTGAGATGTCAAGTTACCTGGAATAGTTTCCTCTTTGAGTTTATGCCACCAACTGGATATACATTTACATTTGTTTTCAATTTTTAGGGCATGCTTTTTAATTTTACCTTATAATTATAAAAGTCACATATAATGTTTTAATGTGTTTCTAGGCTAGCCCACAAAGGCATATTTAACCTCCCTAGGGATGGGCACCCGACTACCCATTATCATACATCCTTAGTGGGTGTAACCCCACTCATAAGCCCCCAAATGTATGGAAAGATGGGCAGGTACAGAATATTACCACAAACAATTTTATTTTAAGTCAATAGTGGGGGTGGCAGGAGGTGACATTGCTTTCTTATTCTTCCCCACGCTTGTTGGATAAAGGGAGGAGACCCAGTGAGAAGAGAATACCACAGGGAGACATCACCACCACCAGTTCATTCAGGTCCCCATCACTGTCCCTCTAGTTTCCCTGCAGTAGCCCCCCAGGTAGTCTTTACTCTGATCCATCACCATCCTCTCATGGCAATAATCTTTCTAAAATATAAGTCTAATTGTGTTGCTCCTCCGAGAAAAGTTGTCCAGTGGCTCCCAGTAGCCTTTAAGTAAATTTAAACTTCAGCACAGAAAGACATCCCAGTCTGGGATCAATCATCCAGCCTCTCTCCACCCCCGCTCCCTGTAATCCCAGGCTCTGGCAAGCAGATTTATTTTGAAAATTCTGCATTTTTCATGTTCTTTTGGACTTTACTACGTTTGTTTTCTCTACCTGAAAGATTCTTCCTCTTATTTGCCTGATTTTCTCCTATTACCTTCTCAACTCGGCTCGAGCATCACTTCCTCATAAAAGTTTTCCCCCACCTTTGCATGCCTGGGGTAAGTTTCTCCTCCCTGTGTCTCTGTTGAGCTTTTCATATGTGAGTCACTTGTTAAAAATGAACACGTCTCTTCACTTCCTGCGCCTCCATTGCCTCCTCTGGAAAATGGGCTTAATGCTCCAGTCAGAATTCCCTTATGCAACATCCACTTCTCCGAGTCTTCAGAGGGGTCCTCTCAGTTCTCTCAAGAGCATGCTGCCTCACGCCCACGGCGCACCGGAAGCTCCCGGCCGTGCTTATGCACTGCAGCTCCCACCAGTGAACTGTATAACTTTACTTGTTTTACTTGTTAGTTTTAATTATATAAAGTGACTAAATGTTATGTAAATTCGTGGAATATGAATGCAAAAAGAGAATTGTTTCTATAAAAACTAATTTGAATAGTTTGGAATGACTCAATAAAAATAAGTTGCTAAAAATAATTGCTTTGACTTATATGTGGGTGAAATAAGAGACTGAAAAAAGTAATAAAAATTTAGAAAGATTCAGCACTCATGTCCTTTCTTAGTGTTTTAGTTCATACTCCACATTAAAGAAACCAAAATTGGAAGTCAGATTTTGCTTTTAAATTTTGATTTTGATTTAAAAACATTTTATTTTAGGAAAGCATCCCCCATAAAATATGAAATTTTCATCATCACAAATTCTGTTTAAATTGTTCCAAAGCCCCCCGGTACATAGTTGTGTATTTTTAGTTGTGGGTCCTTCTAGTTGTGGCATGTGGGACACCACCTCAGCATGGCCTGATGAGCAATGCCATGTCCGCACCCAGGATTTGAACAGGCGAAACCCTGGGCCACGGAAGCGGAGTGCGCAACCAACCACTCGGCCACAGGGCTGGCCCCTAAATTCTTCCAATTTTTGAAAGCTGTGAGTTTCTAATGTTTGATTCTGTTGTATTACTGCTAAACATTATGCATGGAAAACAAAATAAAGATAAGGATTCATTAGAATAAATGAGCTAGTCATGATGAGTCAAGAAAAAAAAAAAGAGGTGATACATTTTGGGTTTAGTGTTTGCAGAACAAAACCAGTGGGACGCCAAACAATAGACTCAGACTCAAGCAAAAAGCCTTGGATCTGCATCAAAAGTGA